TGCTACATGTGGCCTTTACAACGTTTTGCAGTTTTCACAGGTCACACTGCTGATATCTATTAGCAAAATAAATTCAGTTCTCATTTTTCATGGTTAGAAAAAAATCAAAACTCTATGATACAAAGTATTAGAATATTATAGATTATATAGAATATAATCCTGATTATCAACCCTTTAATAAGTGATTAACAGAGGAAGATCAGAGCCATTATTATTGGTTACAGTTTTGGTTTTTACTACAGTCTTTGACTTATAACTATTTGTTTAGTGACCATTTGAAGTTATAACAGTGCTGCAAAGTGATTTACAACTAGTCCTCATATTTATGACCATCATAGCATCCCCACGGTCACATTTTCAAAATTTGGGTGCTTGGCAATCGGCATGTATTTATGATGAATGCAGTGTCTCAAGTTATGTGAGCATTATTTGAGACCTTTCCAACTGGCTTCCAACAAACAAAAGTCAAAAACCAAATTTGTTTAACTGCAGGAAAAAAGGTCATAAAATCAGGCATAACTCACTTAACAACCCCTCATTTAGCAATAAAAGTTCCTGTCCCAATTGTAATTCTTAAGTCGAGGACTATTGTATATCATTCCTTGTACTATGTTTTTATTCTGTATAATTCCTAGTGCTTATGGAGTGTATTATAAATCTAACAAATAAATGCTTCTGAAAGTTGTAAAGCACTGTGAAGTGGTATATAAGTATAAGTGCTATTGCTATCAGATATTATTTTAAATGTAGCATGGGTCATAAAACTATTCAGTGGCTGGTGTGTGTGTGTGTGTGTGTTGTGTTTTGTAGTCTTCAATAATATTTGGATGAATTTACAAGCCTGGATGGTTTAAAAATACTATTTCAAGGAACACTTTCATAACACATGGGCTGACCAAATGATCTGGACTCTATTTACCTGAAACATACCTAGCATGCTGGATAAGAAGTTTATCCTTTAAAAAATGCAAACTGGTTTATGAAAAGACTAAAGATTATCTGTAGTTAGGTGTGCCAGAAAATATACAAAATCATTTTATTCTAATAAAGAATTTTATTCTAATTAACATTTTATAAATTACTGCAATTTGCAATATTTTTGCCAGTTTCCTCAAAAAATGCTCTTGGAGAAAATGGATTCCCTCAACGAGCACTGCAAAAAATATCAAAAGATCAGGTCTGGTCATATGATACCTTGATTTAGAATCACAACAATTTACAACTATAATTCTGTGCTCAATTACAGTTGTAAATCAAGAACTATCTGTATGGGCTTTTAAATGTTACAGACAGCACATTAGCCTGAATTTAAAAAGAGATCAAAAGCTAGTGTAATTTGGTATAGTAATGGAATTACATGCTTCTCAAAAACTGACCGTCATTAATTCTAGTGCTGAATTAATTCTAAACATTCTTCAAAAGTAGCCATATACTATATGTGTAACAGTATTTTTAAAAGTCACCTCAATCTTATGAGCTTCAAAGCAGCATATACTGGTAGTCCTTGATTTACAACCATTCATTTAATGGCCAAAGTTACAAGGCCACTGAAAAAAGTGATTTATGACTTTTCCACACTTACAACCACTGCAGCATCCCCATGGTCACATGTTCAAAATTTAGACACTTGGCAACTGATATGTATTTATGAGAATGGCAATGTCGCAAGACCAAATGATCCTCTTTTGAAACTTGTAACAAACAGAGTCAATAAGGAAGCCTGATTCATTTAACAACCATGTTACTAACTTAACAATTGCACCGATTCTCTTAACAGCTGTGGCAAGAAAAGCTCACTTAACAACTATTTTGGTTAGCAATGGAAATTTTGGGCTCAATTGTGGTTGTAAGCTGAGGACTATCTGTACATGTCCTTTGTGTTCAAACCATTTCAATATCAAAAACATTTATCTGGAGTTGCATATCAGTTTTGAAAGGCAGTTGCGCATCTTAGAAAAAGGTACGGTTGCTTTAAGGACTTGTATATAATTGCAACATTATTGCCTTTGAATCAAAAATACTGTGGAATTTTAATGAAGAAAATACCGTAGTATGTGAGCAGTTAAAAACTCCCAAAGCGATTATAAAAACGAAAAGCAAAAACTGTTTGCAAGTTCTCCATAATCTTCAAAGTCCACAGATCTATGGAAATAAAATTGTATGGTAACTATTCTTAACATGACTACTGAAACTGGGGCATATATTTTGACACTTAAGGAGAAAAATGATTGATCATCTATAATTATTTTTACAAATTCTATTACAGGTACTCTTAAATATGATTTTTAAAAATTCTTATATACTTTAATGTAGAAACATTAAAATATATAATGTGCTCAATTAGAGTTGTAAATCAAGAACTACTACTAAATCAAAAACAAAAAAATGTGTTTTCTTTTAACGCAATTATTATTTTGTTATTTTTATGGGTTCTATCTTGAAATAAAATCTCAACTAAACAACACTCTGAAAATATTCAACTGGTAATAACCAGTTCACAACACTATATACTAAGTGATCCAAGATACAATGAAAAGTGAAGAATATTAGTCTATTGTAGCCAAAAATCAGGAGGAATATGCATCATGGCTAACAAATATTAAAAGGCATTGTCACCTGCAGCTCAATTCTTTAGATATATAAACCAGATCATAACTCAGTTTAGTCACTCCATTCATTTGATGTAGTTCACAAATGCAAATAGACCTGTTTACAACCACAACTGAGCCTAAAATTTTTACTGCTAAGCTAGACATTTCCTGACTTTTGCTCCATTTTACAACCTTTTTTGCCATAGTTAAGTGCAGTAACAACTGCAGTTTTTAAGTTATTAAAGTTAAGTGAATCTGACTTCTCCACTGGCTTTGTCGGAAAGTCACAAAAGGTGATCACATGATCCCAAAACACTGCAACCATCATAAATATGAATACGAGTTTCCAAACATCTGAATTTTCATCACGTGTCCCTGGGGGTGCTGCAGTAGTCATAAGTGTGAAAAATGGTCATAAGTCACTTTTTCCATTGCTATTGTAACTTCAAACAGTCACTAAACTAATGGTTGTAAGTTGAGGACTACTTGTGGTTATGCTGTTTAATCAAGCATATTGATCTCGAAAGGTGCTATTAGATTCCTAATAATTGATCCAAGCATATTCAAAAAATCCCTCAAGAACATAAAAGAACATAAAATTTAGAATAACTGAAATGTTTCAGTACTGTCTTAAACCTATTAAAGTGGTCTCAAATCCACTAAAGAGACACTAAATATTGCAGAATGTGGTAGTTATTTCTGGTCAACATGCAGAGGACTGCATATCAATGGACAAAATCTGGGAAAATATACGGTAAATGCCAAATAATTGGAAGTTGTACAGCTATAAAAGTTTCTGAATTCAAATAGCAAAGAGCCATTATTTCAAAGTATGGCCAAATCTCTCAAAATAAATTAACAATTTTCAAAAGTAAGATCTCAATAAACTTGGTTGTGAAATTCTTATCTACCACCATTATATATGAATCTCAGCACCAAGAACATTTTTCTCCATCAAACTATAGCCATACTAACACAAACCATATAAACAACTTACAATTAGAATTACATTAGGCGTACCACAGATAATTCTAAACACTGCCTACAATTCTTGAAACCAAGTCATCAGTAAGATTCAATAGCTGCAAGCAAATCATACCAAACGTAACTTTATTCTTTTACAGTTTTGTTTCTACCTATTCTCTTTCCCAGAGTTGCAACCTAACAGGTTTCTTTTTATATCACAAATTAAGGCAGAAAGCACCCACTCAAGCATCCAAAACAGTTTTACACTAGATAAATCATAAAGATTTTTGACCCCCCAAAACATTAAATATCTAAGACTTACAGCCCAAATTCTACATGTTCTTCCCTAGAACTAAGTCATAGTTGCGATTTACTCTAAAATCTGCAAAAACTATTCTGCTTGGAAGGTAAATTTTCACATATTTGTCTTGTGAATAACACAAAAGTTTGGAAGCAAGGCAAATATTTTTTTTAAACTTAAAACATAGAAACTACTGCATCAATATGTAGAGAATGGGTGGCTTTATGCTTAAAACATTTAAAGAATATTTTACAGCATTAGAAAGCACCCTAACATCTTCCAACAATGTAGAATCCAGCAAAAAATAAAGCAGAATAGAAATATATAAAGTTAACTACTTTTCCACAAAAAACCTTTTTTCCAAAAAGGAAAGATAACTCCACTTTGAAAGTCTTCCTATCAACCCCACTTAAGATCCTACAGCTCTGCAGGTGCGAGAAGTGAGACTGCAACCATAGCTTTATTCCTGGCGTGCCCCAAACGTCTCATAATCCAGACCGGCCTCGTTTGTCTACTACAAGCTCATCCGGAGCACAAGAACTAGGCCGCGTTCTTTTAAAGCCAGAGGATGCAACTGATAGGAACCTACTGAAGAGGAAAAGCAGAGGAAAATGCAACCCAGTGTTGATTTCGTTCACCCCCTTACCCAATTTGCACCATTTAAGGCAGAGGATCTTTCTGTTGCTCATATCGCCAGTATCTCTCGTTTGCAGATACCCTGTTTGCAAGATGAGAGAAAACGAGGAGAGAGGCGGGGGGGGGGCAGCCAGAAAGAGCATCCTTGTCCTCTACTCCTCCTCAAGGCAACGCCATCCCATGCTTTATTCGAGAGGAAGCGCCGACTGACTTTCCAATTGGGCCTTCTCTCCGCGCGAAGTGCCAGGGCCTTTCCCGTATGACCCTTTCACTCCTAGCAAGCCTTTTCAGCCCTCTTCCACCCATCCTCCGCTGAGAGAGTGGAAAGAGGGGGCAAGGAGACCCGGTACCGACAGTCTCTTCCCCTCCCTCCTCTAGAGTAGTACCAACAACAATCCCTGAGTTTTCTAGCCGCAGTAACGCGAGCCGGTTCGTGCAAAACAGGCCGGGGAAGGTGGTACGAGATGCTTTCCCCCTCTCCTCGTTGATCAAGGTTTTCCACTTACTCTCATTTAACACCTCCAGCAGCTCAGCACAGCTCTCACACATTGTTCATTAAACAGCAGCAGCCGCCGCCGCCTCCTCCTCCCGACCATTGATTGATCCGCTCTCGGTCGCCGCTGATTGATTGATGGCGAATGGGGGAGGGGGAGGGGAAGAGGCCGGTGGGGGGGGGATGGGTACCTGAGTGTGACAGAAGGGGGAGGAAAGGAAGGAATAATCGTAAAGGGGAGCGGGGGGAGGGAGAAGACGGGGTTGTAAAAGTGATTTCGGGATAGGAGGAAAGATGAGGAGGCGACAGTCTGATGCAAAAGAGTTTGGCGGCCACCGAGGAAGAGGAGGAGGAGAAGGAGAAGGAGAAGGCGAGTCACTCACTGGCTGCTAAGGCCTCTACGTGCCGCCATTTTGCTGAGGGGGAAAGGCGGAGGGAGAGAGAGGAGGAGATTGCACGAGGGAAGGAGGCGGGGCGAGAAAGGCAAGGGGAGTGCGAAGACCGCGCGCGCAGGTTCTGTTCTGGCTCGGATATTTCCGGGCAGAACGGCGGGAGGCGAAGGGAAGAGAGGAGGAGTTCTTTCCTCGGGGCGTCTGGGGGCGGCGCGAACAGAATGAGGAAATAGTGCAGTTGGGAGGGCAAAATGGCGGCGAGGGCGACGTCTCCGCCCCCGTTTCGTGCAAGGCGGGAGGCGTTCGGCTGCCAACGTCACCGAGGCTCAGTGGTGAACACCGTGGTGGGAGGGCGAAAGTCTTCGAGAGAATTCCGTAGTCTTTAACATAAGAAGAGATGCATTGTCCAATCAGCTGTAGAGTTTTTTTTGTATAGCACTGTTGATCATGTGAGTAAATAGAGTTTGAGTGTAGATAAGGGGGAAAAAATCCTTTGCTGAATTAGGGCAGGTTTGAGTCAGTCTTAAACCATGTTTGTCAGTTTTCTCACCACAGTGCTCCATTTGAAGACTATTTGGATAACTATTAACATTTTCAAATAAAGAGAGAAAAAAAAAATAATTAAAGTAGAAAGAGATAACAGTGAAAAAGAAAGTAAAGCCAGAAGTGCAGAAAGAGAAAGACCTACAAAGAAATGACTTCAGACTTCATTTCACAACAAATATAAAAATGAATTTACATTAAACTCTAAGATTACAACATACTTTTTTCTTTTTTTGAAATAATTTTTTGAAACAATTTTCCTTTACACAACTCTAGTACATAATCAACAGACTGTCATTTTTGTATACTTCGGATCAACATTCCATACAATATATACATTATATACATTCAATATCCAATCCTCAATAGCCGTATGTATATTTCCAATTTTTATTTCTATTATCTATCCAAGTGTACCATTTTTCCCAAACCGCATAAAGTTCTGAATCATCTTTTTCTTTTAGTTCTAGGGTACATTTATCCATTTTGGCACATTCATATATCTTCTGAATGATCAATCCCTCTGGTGGTGTATTGCATTCCTTCCAGTACTGCGCAAATGCAATTCTTGCTGCTGTTAATATGTGTAGAATCAAATATCTTTCTATCAAATTTTGTTTTAAGTATTCCCAGGAAAAATGTTTCCGGGTTTAGTTCTATTTGACATTTTATTATCTCTTGTAGCCATCCTTGTATCTTAGTCCAGTACTTTTTCGCTTCAGGACATAGCCACCAAGCATGAAAGTGTGGGAAGTTAGCACCCACCCCTTTCCTAGAAGAATGAAATATTTTAGGAAATATTAAAAAAGCAGAATATATTTCCCTGGATGAAAAATGGAGAAACATGTTTTAAAGATAAAGCAGCTCCTACCTTTCTGCCTCCCCCCCCTTTTGTCAATGGGCCAGAGGCAGAAACCCAATCCTTTGTCAAAGGACCATCATCTGCAACACAATAGGACCCATCTAGCAACAGAAACTAACACAATGGGACCCATCTAGCAACAGAAACTCACCACATGGCACCTGGGAAGATTACATCAGCCAGCAAGGCTAGCTAAGACCCTCACCCCCTGGGAGTATGACAACCAATCAGGATACTCTTTCTGGGCCCCAGGAAGTCCAAAGCCAGAGAGGGCATAAAATCCGGGGACTCGCAGCATCTCGCTCCTTTTCTGTTCAGGAACTCAAGCCATGTGATCCTGTCCACCATTAAAACATCTTTCCAAGCAGTCTCCGTGTTTCCAGTGTCTTTTTCCCCACTTGGAGCTGAACCCAGAAGGAGATTTCTTCTAACAAAAGAAAGTACAACATACTTTTTTCTATTATCTACCATTTTGTCTAATCATCAAATCCATATGTAAGTATTTCATTTTTTTTTGGTTTCACCCAAAAAGTTCAAGAGGGATTTCCAATCGGCTATAGAAAGTTAACACACACCCCTCTCCTAGAAGAATTAAATATTCTAGGAAATATTAAAAAGGCAGAATATTATATTTCCCTGGATGAGAAAAGGAGAAACATGTTTGTAAAGACAAAGAGAAGCTCCCTGCAGCACCTTGTCCCCAGCAGATATTTGGTGCCCATTGAGCAGATTGGGCCTGTTTATCTACAAGACAATTAGACCTCCAGCTCCAGAGTGATGGGATTAAGACATGACCCCTCAAGACATAATAGGATTACTCCTCTACCCATCTAGCAGTGATCTAGGGCTCACTGCATTTCAAAATTTCTTAAAGACATTGCTCACCCAGCAAGGTTCAACCAAACTTATCTCAGACACTCTCAGCTATGACCCCTGTATAGCTCCATGAGAGTCTGACAGTAGCCAATAGAATACATTTTCTTGCACGGGAACAGGAAGGTCAAGTTCAAAGCCCAAGAGAGGGTATAAATATCTCTCACTCTCCATGCCATGTGGTCAGCTGCCCAGGACCTCAAACTCATGTGGTCCTGTTTATCAATAAAATAATATTTCCAATCAGTCTCCATGTTTCCAGTGTCTTTCTTCACACTTGGAACTGAACCAGATGGATATTTCTTCCAACACAGCATTAAAATTAATGTCATTTCCTTAATCAAAGCTGTCAATTTCTTTGCTGTCTCAGCTAGCTCCATCAACATCAACATTCATTCTTCCATTATAGGCAATATTGAATCTTTCCATCGTTGTGTATATAAAAATCAAACTACCGTACTGTTGTTATATACAGAAACAAAAATCCATGAGTTTTTTCCAACTGTTTGCCCATCAGTCCCAAAAGGAACATCTCTGGCTTAAGTCATGTATTAGTCTTTAAGATCCTTGAGATTTGAGTTCAAATTTATTTAGCTTTTTTACATGTCTACCAAGCATGGTAAAAAACCCATCTTGTCCACATTTCTAAAATACATTTGCAATGCCTTTGTACATTTAGGCAATTTTTCCAGTGACAAATACCAATGATACATTATTTTATAAAAATTCTCTTAAATTTTATAACACAGTGAATTTCAATCCTTTCATATTCTCCCATTGAGCCATTTATATTATACCAAAGTTTTTAGCCCACTTTATCATACAGTCATTCTCTTCATCTTCTGTTTCAAGTGTCAGTAGGAGTTTATACATTTTAGCGATAATGTGTTCATCTTTGTACATATTGTAGTTCTAGTTCAAATTCCATTTTAAAGACTGGCTTGAAAAAATCCCTTTTCCATTTATTCTTAGTGTACACAACATATAGATTAACTCAGCATTCAAACAACATGTTAAATATGGTTAACTTTTATCTTGGTTTATTTTTAATATAAGTTTAGGATACTGTGAAAATGAAGTACATTTGGAAAGTTTATGATAGCCTATGTTGAAAATGGGTTAATTCAATAATCAAGTTTAATTGTTGTGGAAACCAGTTTTAAAAGAACAACTGGGGTTTTACAGCCATATTTATGCCAAACATGCACAACCAGAACAGTTTAAAGTTTTTGTTTTATTTATTAAGTTGTTCGTACACCATCTCAAATATCATAATTATGTGGGTTTACAGCATAAATTAAACAGTAATTTAAAACAGCCAAAAGCCAACTCAACCCAACCCCTCAAATACAGGACAGCTCACCACCATTCTTTAAAAACTAAACAAAATTATTTTGATGGTCTTGGGGAAGAACAACAACCAAGGACCAAACCTAATTCAGAGGTCATGATGTTCCAAAGTACTGGAGCTTTGCAAGAAAACCAGCGGTGAAATCCAACAGGTTCTGACAGGTTCTGGAAAACTGGTAGCAGAAATTTTGAGCAGTTCGGAGAACTGGCAAATACCACCTCTGGCTGGCCTCAGAGTGGGATGGGAATGGAGATTTTGCAATATCCTTCCCCCAGAAGTGGGGAGGGAATGGGGATTTTGCACTAGCCTTCCCCTGGAGTGGCGTAGGAATGGAGATTTTGCAGTATCCTTCCCCTGCCATGCCCACCAAGCCACACCCACCAAGCCATACCACGCCCACCAAGCCACACCCACAGTAAAAAAAATTGGATTTCACCGCTGAGAAAAACCCTTCCCTCAAGTCCAAGCCCCCTCATTTCTTTGGAGATGGGGCAAGTTCACTAAATAGCACTTCCTCGATAACCTCACAGGACACAGTTATGTTGAAAGAGACGGACCCTTAAAGAACTTGACACCATCTAGATATGGCTTTAAACAGTGTCTCTGGTGGACAAAACAGTTAAGATAACAGCTATGGCTACATGATCAAAGCCACCACCACCCCTGTCCCTTTATGTGAATAGTATGGCCATGATTGCCATTTTTAAAAAAATTCTGCCCCTGCAAAGATACTTGGCTGTAGAGATAATACTTTAAAATGGATTTAGAATAGGTTCTAAGCAGAAGTGTGTTTCTGCTTCTGTGATAAATACTGTAATGTGTTTCTGTTATCCTAGAATGATTTGCATCATGTATCCTAAATCAAAGCATACAGTAAGTTAACTCAGAGCTTATTTAAACAGTCACAAATGTTTGTCTTGTCAACAGATAACTTAAAATAGTTTCTACCAGGAAACAAATTCCTCTATTAAAACCTGTACAGCGTTTTCTACAGTTTGTAATAAATAGCACAACATGTTTATAATTAGGGTTGCCAGGTCTGCTTCCAAAAAATAGCGGACAAGTGGGGGGGGGTTAAGTAGTAAAAAAAAAAAATTAGAATTAAATTATATATTTTCTTACAAACATTTTAACACGTATTAAAATAATCACTTCAAAACTTTACTTAAAATTCAAAACATCAAATATATTATAATAATATGTAAAATATTAAATTACATTTTACTTTGCTGTCGTGTGTGTTTTTTATTTGACTGCGCAGCTTTGATCAATTCTTTGTGTTTAAGGAATAATTCTTTAATTTCAGTACAACGTTGAGAAATATTAAAAAATATACAAAGTTCACTTCGAACTGATACAAGCAGTCGGTTACATTTGTCAGTCCACAAATTTCCCATGACGCTGAAAATTCGTTCAATGTTTGCATTTGATACCGGAATTGATGCACAATACTGGAACAGTTTCAGTAAACTCGGAGCTGGCTCTTTCTTGAAAAAGTACGTCCATTTATCAAGGGATGTATCGCCCTGCAGATGAA